TAGTCAAACCCTCACTAAGATAATTAAGTTTTGCCAATTTTACAGATAAATATATCCAACCATTCAGAAAATATGGAATGTGGTAAAGGTTAGTTTTGAAAAATTGTATAATCTCTTCAAAGGAGAATTACACCTAAGAACAAAATCCAGACTTTTATAAATTCATTATAATGGAAGTGTGTTAGAACTCAAAAGAGTATGCCTGTAAAACATTTTGTTCCAGAGTTAAAATTTATGAATTTATAAAAATATATAGGACATAAATTTAAAAAAATGGCATAGTGGCATATGCTTGTATTTTATCACTTGGAAATGAAGGCAGTACAATCAGTAATTAGTTCAGGGTAATATTCTGCGTTAGAGTTTGAGGTCAGCTTTGGCTAGAGGAGGCTGTCAAAAATATTGAATGGAAAAAGAAAATGATGGGGGCAGGTGGATAGGAAGGAACAGAGAAAGAATGTGGAGACAGAGGGGTAAAGGGAAGAAAGAAGGGATAGAGTGATTATCAGAACAAGGCAGAAAAGGGAAAAGGCAGCCATTTATTGCTTACAACTGGAATTGTTAACACAGAAAGTAATAACTTTTATTATTTTCAATAATTCATATCAGTTACAGAATTTAATTTCTAAAATACCTTAAAAGCTATGTAGAGTTTTTTATAGTTTTGACCTTTTAATATTTCACATTTGGATGTGTTGGAAATTTTTTCTATCCCTACAGGTTAAGGAGGCCATAAAATGAGAAGAGAATTGAATAGCCAGTGAATTGGATGCTGTACAAGAAAAGGCCAAAGCAAATTCTATGGCTCCATAATTCACAAAAAGGTAGAAGATAATGAAATGCCCGAATGACCACATATGTGTTTTGTGGGATATTAAGAGGGTTAATTTTAATCTCTGCTAATAAGAATGATTTAACTAAATTCTTTGGGTTGCAAGCAAGTTCAACAGAAAATCTGTTTTATTAAAATAATCTAGGAACTAGAACTGAAGTGTTTGATGAAAGAGAAAGCTGACCCTGGCTTTATTCTCCAGTAGGCTGACATGACAGCTATGATGAAGGTGTCACTGGAAAACTCCCTTTCAGGCAGTGATATAATACAATCTGAGAAATCATAATGTCAGATGGGCTGTGTTAGTGTATATTTAACTAACTTTCATTCATTTTAATTAAAAAGTTATTTTACTGCTACTTTTCCATATATAAAATAGAAAATCCAATAACATGGATTATCTACACTAATCATCCTCTGACTTTCACTACATCAGAATGAAAAATACCAGAAGGTATTTAAAGTTTTGCTGTAATGAATGGACTTAGATACATTTTGCTTAAAAATTCATTTTTATTTTAAAGTGTGTGTGTGTGCATATGTGTGTTTGTGTGTGTGTGTGTGCATGGGTGTATACATATGTATGTACAGGTGTCACAGAGTATAGAAGATGGTTTCTCTTCCCTTGATCTTGAGTTAAAAGTGGTTGTAAACAGCTTGATATGGATGTTGAGATATGAACTAAGGACCTCTGCAAGAGCAATACACTCTTTTGACCACAGAGTCATCTCTCTAGCCCCAAATATTTTAGATGACATTATAGTCAGTGACTTTATTTTAAAATAGATACACTGTCAGATATGTCACAAAAATATTCAGAGTAGTACAAAATTAGCAAAAAAATAAATAAATTATAATCTGATAAATTGATAGAATTTTAATACAGATTTGATGCATATTGTGCAGTGAGAATAGCATGAAATTATAAACCAAGTATATAATTACTATTAAACATTTTACATTAGAATGTGTGTTCTAACAGAATAGAGATAATTAACAACTATACATGAATATATTTTAAGAATTTCTATAACAGAAAAATGTTATAGTGACTGTAAATAATAAATTCATGCAAACAGTAAATGTATATAAATAAATCACAATGCTAACAATCAATTAAAACTCTTCTTTTTAAAAAAGCTCTTCTTTTAAAAATATTGAGTTATTATGTTAGTATGAATGTAATAGCACTGGAAATTTTCAGATGTTAATAAAAATAGTACAAAGATACAAGATAACAGAAGACATAGATACAGTTTTGTTTACTGTAACAGAAATCATTAAGAGAAAATATAAGGTAAAATTCATCTTATTTTCATAAATACACTAAATAGAAAATTTAAAATGCTACTAACAGTGAATTATATATGTTGTCTACTTTTCTGATATATGTAGTTTCATTAGATATTTTAGCTATACTAAAAGCTGGCTAGAAAAATAACTTATAGCCAAATATATGTTATGAACCAGTAGAGAAATATAGTTATTCATAAAATATAAGGAGTTTAGCACATTTTTATACATCCATTTCCAGAAAAGAAAATATGAGTTTAGTTATATTAGAATATTGGATTGCTTGCCTACTTTAAACTACTAAGTATTGGAATTTTAGCTCCATTTGAAATATTTTGAGAAATATATGTTTAAGACCATATTTTAGAGAGTTCGTGTTATGTTTCATACATGAATGCATTCATGTTTGCTTCACTGTTTAAAATTGTTCATTAATATGAAACAGGTCAAGGCAGTGATTCTCCCCTATGTGTGTGCTCACAATCTCAGGAAGGTAACTTATCCCAAGCCAAACAGAGATAAATGGACAACTGTTTGCAGATGGTCAGGTATCTCCTTTAATGAATAAGTTACAATATAACATTCTGCGACATGGGCAGTGGAGTAGCTTCCTAGTAAAAAGCACATGCTTACTATATATGAGGCCCACACATAATTTACTGCTGGAGAGAAAGAGTGTCAAAGAGAGAGGGAGAGAGGGACTGTGTGTGTGTGTGTGTGTGTGTGTGTGTGTGTGTGTGTGTGTGTGTGAGAGAGAGAGAGAGAGAGAGAGAGAGAGAGAGAGAGAGAGAGTTGGATTCCAAACAAATGGGAACTTGATGTTTTTCTTTGTTTTCCCAAACCTCAATTTTAAAGGTCTGGTGTGTGTGTGTGTGTGTGTGTGTGTGTGTGTGTGTGTATTCTGAAAAAAGACAAAACAACCCTTTAAAGCAGTTTTAAAGACTTCAAAGAATGCTTGGCAATTTAGTTTATTAAATATCTAAGCAATCTCTGCTTAGTTCTATATGCATATGTAAGTGATATTAGACATAACAAATTTTTCACATTGTAATGGAGTATTTTCAACATGCAGATTTTAAATGAGAAAATATAGAAGATGGCACTTTGGTCAGAACATAGCCCCTAGGGATCTGAAATCATTAACATTGAAGTGTGAAAGACTAATTGCACTACTTCTCTGAAGGTAACTTCTGAATATGTGCTACACAATGTCTACAAGATTCGGGAAGTGGGAAATGAAAAGTTTGTAATGCAGAAGGGATTTATGCTAAGAAGTCTCTGAGTTGTCATGATTAAGAATTTTCCACCCATTATGCGAACCCTATTGATCATGGCAGGAAGCGGGAAAGTGTGCAGCTCATTGATTTTCTGTGGCTACTGAATGCATTAGGTCTGACATATTTGATGGGTAGGCAGGTTTCAAAGGAAGCTCAGTTAAGCTAATCTTAGTTCAGAGAAAAATTCACAATGGAATAAGAAACCTTGTAATTGCACGAGAAAATAGAAGAGTCAGAGGACTGTATTATGAGCTATATCAGCATAAAAAATTAGACATGAGCCTTCCCGGGAGACTGCAGTAAAACACAAGTCTTTGATGCTGCTTTTCACAAATGAAGCAATTACTTGGTAACTTCAGTTTTTTACCTTCAGTCCAGATACTGAATGCAAAGCAATTAATTATTCTGTCCTCTTAGCTAAGGTGAGTATCAGAATTCTATCAAGTTTTTAAAATGTAACTGAAGACAAAAAAAATATTGCAAAACACAAGTGAAATTGATAGCATGGTACTCACTGTAAATTCAATATTTTATTTCTAATGATATACTTTTATTCCTCTCATTGTCACATTGATTCTTTAAAATACAAATTTTCACCCATTATTGATATCATAGGATATCAAAGTAGAAAATTAAATACAAAATTGAAATCATAAAGAAATTTTCAACCCGGAGAATTGTTTCCACATTAAAAATAAAGCCAAACAATGTGATGTAGTATCCATGTTGGATGCTGTCTTGGTGACTTATTAATACAATGTCAGAGTGCAATGTTTTGTATCAGTATTACACAAATAGTGTCAAAATCCTCCATGAATATTTACAGTACATTAAGTACCATGATGGTGTGTATGCTTTAGGTGAGTTTAATTAAATTAGCAACAGCTAAATGATTCTCGATGCCCACAAACAAACATTGTGTATTTGGCAATCAACTTTCTCATTTTTTTTCCAGGTCATTTAGCATACAATCACACAACCAAACTTATGAGAACAAATGGGAACATGCCGACGTGTAATGTTCTATTCCACTTCACTGATGTCTCAAGTTCTCCCATTCCTTAGGCAGTAGAGCACTGCATTTCTCTGCTTTGGGAATTTGACCTCCAACACAGGCTGTTATTATAAACTTCACAATTGCTGCGTGTGACATTTGCAAATCATTCTGCTTTGTGTAAATGCTTTACTAATTGTTTTAAATTATAGAATTGTATTTATTACAATTACTTGCGGGTTATTTGTGCAGAGAAAACTGATTTCTAAGACCAGGTCAGGAAAGAGTCTCTACACTGGATATCAGAGTTTCCTTTGAAGAAAGTGAGGTTCACAGAAATTAATTCAAATGCTGGTGTTGTTTGCTTTTGGAGACTAATGACAATAATGGGGATTAAATCTAGAACTTCATTTTATACAAAATGCTTTCCACTGAATCTTGAAATGTTTTGGAAATTTTAATTTTCATTAAAATCTTAAGAAAACAAACAGTTCTGTAGGGGAAGCTGTAGCCATGCCTACTTAGGGGCTGACTACAGGCGTGCCTGACCATGCTTGTGAGGGCGTGGTCAGGGTGACGTAGTGTGACTGTGTTTTCGCTTTTTCTTTTGTACTTGCTGTACGCCGGCTGGCTAGGTCGCTCTGTAAGTAAGGCTTTTCCCTATTAAATACCCTTATATTTCTACCTGACTTCATATTGATAATTTCCCACTATCCAGTTCAGTTAATGAAACTAACAGCCATTGATTAGAGAACCTTACAGCTGTTACAAAAATATAAAATTTCATCCCTTGGTTATGTGTTTCCCTTTGTTCCTTGTTAACAAAAAACCCAAAACAGATATTATCTGCATAAGGTCATATTTGTCCGTTCTTCATAGCTCAGCTCATATGTACACATTTTGATCTGATGGTGTATTTGCTGCTAAAAGGAGACTAAAATAGGAATATAAAATAGACTATTCTGAAGACTGTGTTCCACAAAGAATAAGCATATAATAAAGTGTAAGCATGTTCATAAGCATCCCAGAAGCCAATACTGCATTTTAGTATCTTGCAAAGGAGTGAAGAGTTGTATACAATTCTAAATTATAGTATGACCTGGAAAGTAGGGTTGCAGGAAAATGCTGTAAGTTTGGACATCTGTAGACCACAAATGGACATAGCATGGAAAGTCTAGCTACGTGGAACAGGTAGTAACTGAATGAAATGGGGAGGCTTAGTTTACAAAAGAAATAAAACTGGGGGGCTTTGACCATTTTCATTAAAAAAAGTGACAGTGTTTTATAACATTGACTTTTTTTTGGTTTTGCACATTTTCTATGAAGTAGAAACAATAAATAAAAGTCGTGGACAGAGATACTATTTTTTTATTATGTTGAGAAACAAAACAGAGCTTGAGAAAGAAGGAGTGCTCTATCTCACTAACAGGGGGATCACCAATCCTAGGCACTCAATGTATCATGTGTCTTTAATCAGGTAATTTTGTGAGATAATCATCATTACAAATTAACGACCTATGGCCATATGCTACTTCTCTTATTATATAGCCAGTCATAGAATAAAATGTATCGGATTTCAAAAGGCCAATGGCTTGCACTTCTTCTTCTTCTTCTTCTTCTTCTTCTTCTTCTTCTTCTTCTTCTTCTTCTTCTTCTTCTTCTTCTTCTTCTTCTTCTTCTTCTTCTTCTTCTTCTTCCTCTTTCCCCTTTTCCCCCTCCTCTCCCGCCTACTGGTTTCCCTTCTTCTCCTTCCTCTTCTTCCTCCTCTTTTCCTTCTGACCCATCTTTGTCTTTCTCTTCTTCTTTTACACTTAAAAAAAAATCCCTATATTTTCAATAGGAGTCCTTTCATACATTTTTTAAAGAATCTGGAATAACATATTATAAAAATGTCAAGTTGCATTAATCAACTTAAAAATGACACTAAAGTAGAATTCATGCCTGGGTTAGCACCTGACACTTCTCAGCTCTCCTTCCTCTACATGTCAAAAATCATTACAAGTTAATTGTGGTGGTAAATGCTGAGAAAGAAGAGTTGATGTGAAATAAAATGCAAATGAAGATCAGTTTTAAGCAGGAGGGTTTAGTCTAAATGACCTCCTTACAGGCTTTAAATGCTGTAGAAAAAGAGGTGCATGGTCTCTCTGCTCTAATTATTTGCACCACTAAAGGGTTATTCTATTTTCTTAAATATGCCTGAAACTCTAAAGGCAAATCCATGTCAACAAAGTGCCATGTATGGCTTGAGGTTCTTGTCTTTTAGAACATAAAATAATCCAATGGGAAAAGTCTTTGAATTACAAAACTTTATTTTTTTTCAGTTACAAACAAAAAAATATTACCACGTTTTTTCTAATACACTGTATGAACCATCCTATCCAACATCAAACCAAATGGACTCTTCCTATGTTTCCTATCATAAACTTTAGTAGGATGAGGTGACATGATTAATACTATAAATTAAACATACTCTCTGTTTTTCATGGAAACCTTCATAATTATATTGTATATCTGCACCTCATACCATAACAATGGATATATTTAGCATATAGAAATTGAAGTTCTCAGATCAGTTCTACCTTCCTTTCTATGTGCCTTGCCTCCAAGGGTGTGGTGTCTTCAACAACATAGTCCTTTGAACTACATCTAGTGGACCACATAGAAGAAATGCATGTGATGCACCTGTACTGTTCATGAGGTCTTTGTAGCTTTCCAGACCAACATCTACTATGAAGGACCCCAACATCTACTATGAAGGACCTTCAAACCTAGAACTGCAGTTTGTTTAGTACCATTTTGCTACTGAAAAACATGGCATTTTATTACTCCAATCTCTTTATCATTATTACATGTGTAATTTGGACACCAGAAACTGAATTTCCATGTGTCATTTTTACTCACTCTCATTTAATTAATCTTCTTCCTTGTTTGATATCATCTGTGTCTCAGAACCCAAGTGTAGGGAGTCACCCTAGCCCCGCCCAATAGTCCTGGGGCAGGTACCAGGTGGATCCGGGGACTCGCCCAGAAGGGCGTGGTGAAGGAAAGCCGGGGTGACGTAAGGGAGCTTCTTAAGGGGCTGCATGTGGGGACCCTGGGTCTCTTTTGTTCTGGCCGCGCTGGCTGGGTTCTATAACCTAGCTCTGGCCTGTGTTTCACCTTGCTGTCTTCTGAAATAAAGAGACCTTAATCCTATACCCAAGCTCCTATTTACAACTTTCAGGTATTGGTTTCTGATCTATACTCATTTTACTTGTGTTCTACATGTTTCTCTCTTTCAAAATTACTTCAAATTTCTTGAGTTTTACAGGTGCTTCAAGGTAATCATAAACACAATATCTAAATATTAAAAGCTGTTTTCCACAAATAAGGGAGAATGTTGTTCTTATTCTGGTCCTGCATTACTTTTTTTTAAAGGTACAATGCATTTACATATAAAAATTCTCATAATTTTATTTTTTTTCTTTATGCATTAAGAAAGGGGGAAACAGAAATTTTTTAAGAGGCAGAATACTGAGAATTCTGCTATGCTAAAGTCTCTCCTAAAATTGGTTGCATAAACAAGCCTGGAAAAATAGCTAAATCAATAGACATGCTACCTTGGAAGACAGAATTTCAAAGGGTCCTATCCCTAAACAAAGAACTATAGACAGCTATTGAGTATTAGGAGATGAAGTAGCCTCTCTCAGGAATGAGCTCCATTAATGGTTAATACAATTCAGGGAGGTCTGCCCTGAGACTGCATCTACACAAACAACAAAAGCTGTCTCAGCATGTTATATTTATGTATTTTTCATCCATTAATGTGTAATAAATATGTATATATTCATAATATAATAACAACACATAATGTTATGTAAGTAACAGTAAAATTTAAAGAAAAAGAGCCTATCAATTTAATACTAAGAGTAATAGAAAAAGGTTGTTGGAGGTAGGAAAAGGAATAGCAGAAAGTGATATAATTCCATTCCAATTAAAATGAATAAAAAAGTAAAAATGAAATAAACAAAACAATAAAAGTGAAAGAATCATAAAGGACCTTTGTTATACCTATCGATAAAATAAAATGATACATAAAAATAATTTAGCCTGGTAAAGAAGAAAATTGTAACACATGTTACATTACATGTGGATCTTGAAATTATCCTAGGTTAAACACAGAACCAACTGATGCATTGGTATGATATGATTTTGTGGATGTACTTAATTCAACTAAAATGTACATTTAATAATAATTTAGAATAAAGACTGTCCACTGTGTTATATATTATTTCACAAGTAAATAAACAAACCAACTCAGTGTGGAGACATGGAATTTCATAAAGAATTTAATGCCATCTGAGACAAACATGTCTTTAACATGAGCATGAATGACAACATTATGTGTCGCCCATAACTCTGTAAGATCCTTATTTTCCTATAACAACAAAAAATAAAAATTAATTGAAAATAAACTTTTAAATGCAAACATGGAAAAAGTAAAGAGAAAATATTGATTATTTAAATAAGAAGGGAAGTTTGAGATTTAGTATACTGTGTTAGTCAAATACACATCACTTGAAGGCATGACAATCATAAGACTGACTCAGCTACAACTGATTATAAATTTGGTATATTTACAAGATTAAACTGAAGATAAGATTGTCAAAAATGTCACTTCTTACAAAGTATACATAAGGCACTGAAAATATTCATCCTTGGAATATAATCTACACTGAAAAACTAAAATCATATAGGTAGTAAATTGCCTAGGTTAGAATAGCTAATGACACATACTTTTGTATATCAAACATACAAAACAAAAAAACTCAGTGCAAAAAAGAATTTTATTTAGGGGTTGAAATATTAAATGTTTTTAAAATATTATAAAACAAATGGCAAAACATGAGGGAATCAAAAACCATTGTCTATTAAAAAAGAACAATATTTGAAAAAATAAAAACTCAAATCAATCCTTAAAAGATAGTATATAAGCAAAAAGTGGCACTCTAACTGAAATAAAATGTAAGCATTAAAATATTTAGTAAATATGGAACGGAAATGAAGTAACACTCTACTCTCAAATTTTCAATAAAACTATGTATAAAATTGTAGAAACATTTGTAGAGAAATTAACTGTGTATTTTTATAATTTGAATATAACATGTATAGAAATAAATAGAACTAATGATTAAAAAATAAGATCTATGAAACCTCCATACACTGATAAATTATCTTAATATCACTGACTAAAGAGAATGATATAAAATAAAAGAATTAAAAGTGAAGGAAATGTCTCATCATAATTTGCACATATTGAACTGACTCCTCATTTTTGGTGTGTAGTGGAGCATATTAGAACAAGTATGATACATAATTACTTCCAGCAAAGAAAAGAACACAATGATATTGTTGAATCAATAAAATTCACTGCAGCTTAAAACATGAGAAAATATGTAAGAAGAAAACAAACAAAAAATACTGTCAGGAGAGAGATCTTTCCTTGTGATTTGAGAACATGTCTTCCAAAGGATAAGTCTTCAAAATATAATAATTCACTATCACAGAGATTTACAAATAAAATAAACTTTAAACATTCAGATACATGTTCAAACTCAGGATTCAGACAAAAATTTCCAGGTAAAAACAACTAAATGTTACCTAGCATCTTTACTGTTTTCATAATTTAAGGGATTATTCATGGACTGCAGCTATAAAACAATGACAGAATAATTCCATAGCATGTGGAATTATCAATTCATGCCCACTTCTTCAAGTAAAATGGATAAATAAATTATTAAAAATCATTCTAACATTTGTTCTGTGAAAATATATTGATATTTTTAAATGTTACACTAGTTAGGATATATATTTATAATAAAGATTCTAAGGATAACTATCTCAAGCAAAAGATGAAACAGAACTGTGAATGGTCTTTTTATTGTTTTTTTACTTAATTTTTCCTTGTATCTAAAATATATTTTTTCTCATATAATGTATGTTGGTTATGATTTTCCCAAAATTTACTTCAATCAGTTTTCTCCCATCTGTCTTCCCACCCTGTTTCACTCTGTTTCTCATTAGAAAACAAACAGAATTCTAATGTATAACAATAAGTAATAAGAAAAAATAAAAAACAAAAACTATCACATCATAGTTGAAGAGGACAAACAAACAAAAGGAAAACATGCCTCAAGAAGTTACTTGAACTAGAGACCCACTGGTTTGCACACTCAATAATCCCATGAAACCTGTGCATGCCGCCTCAGTCTCCTTAAATTAACATGAATTTTGATTATGTTTTTTGGTTTTGGGTGGTTTTTTTGTTTTTTGTTTGTTTGGTTGGTTGGTTTTTTTTTTTTTTTTTTGGTTTTTTTTCGCGACAGGGTTTCTCTGTGGCTTTGGTGGCTGTCCTGGAACTAGCTCTTGTAGACCAAGCTGGTCTCAAACTCACAGAGATCCACCTGCTTCTGCCTCCCAAGTTCTGGGATTAAAGGCATGCACCACCAACACCTGGCCTGTTTATGTAGGTTTAGAGCATCTTGTTTTCTTAGTGTCCTCTATCTCCTCCAGTTCTTACACTTAATCTTGAGGCTTGAAGGGTTTTGATGGAGCCTTCACATTTTAGACTGAGTGTTCCAGAGTCTCTCTGCCCATTGTCCATCTATGTGTCTCCTTATTTGTTCCCAGGTTCAAGAAGAGCAATATTCCCTGATGTTTGAGCAAGGGCCTGATCTATGAGTACAGCAGAATAACATAAGAAGTCTTTCTAGTGTTACTTTTCTTTTTTTAAGAGCAGTAGTATTTGATTTTACCACGACAATCTGTGCTATCTATTCTCTGGTTCTTGGTCACCTAAGAAGTGTGAAGTATGTGTTCCATTGTGGAATGGGCCTGAAATCCAATCAGTTACTGGTTGATTACTCCCACAAACTGTACTTTCATTGCCCTAGAATATCTCTCAGGCAGAAAACCACTATAGATCAAAGGGTTTGTGGTTGGCTTGGTATTTATATTTGTCTTTTGGTAGCCTGCAGAGTATTTTTCTGTATCAAAGACACTTAGAATGTGGAAGTGAAGGCTCTATGGAGTCACCAGATAGACTTATGCATGCACAATAATTTGTGTAGATACTCTGTCCAGCAATGACACATTTCTGTAAGTTTATGCCTACAGTTTTTGTAACAGCCTGGATTATTTGAGGATGATACACTTTGGACAACAACTTAATTAAATGCAACCCAGCTCCAGCATTAGAAACTTTTTGGTACCAAGAGATGGACAATGGCATCTTTGTTTCCTTCATTATTTTGCAATGTCATTTAGATCATCTTTATATATCTATGTATTGTGTGAAGCTTCTACTATATTAGCTTTCCATACTAGCCCTCAAGTGACATTTAATTAAAGCAGTCTTTCCCAATAACCCCTCCCTCATTCCCCTCTCATCATCCTCCTGTTCTAGCCTCCCCCAACCATCATATCTATTCTATCTCCCTATCATGACAAGATCTGTCTGTACCCACTAATAAATACCATACTGTACACCTAAATTCTGTGAATCTATGAAAAGTAGATCTGTTATACTTGACTTAACATCTAATCACCACATGTAAATAAATACATATAATATTTGTTTTCTGGGTCTGGAAAACCTCACTCAGGATGATTTTTCTATAGTCCATATACCTGAAAAATTTATGATGGTATTTTTATAATGACTGAGTAATAATCCATTGTGTAAAAGTACCACATTTTCTTTATCCTTTCTTCTGTTGAGAGACAACTATTATGCAGAGAGCAGCAATGCACAAATTTGAGCAAGTGCTTCTGTAATAGAATGAAGTAAAGATCAGTTTTGTGTCCAAGAGTAGTAAAGCTGAGTCTTGAGGTCAATACATTCTCATCTTCCTAAGGAACTACTACACTGATTTGCAATGGTGGTACAAATTTGCAGTACCACCAAATTTAGATGAGGTTTCCCCTGACTACCCTGGACAACAGAAGCTGTCATTTGTTTTGTTGATTTTAGGTATTCTAGCAGATATATAGATATATCTAGAATATATCTAGAATACCAGATATATTGTTTCTAAATATTCTTTTTTTATTTTGTAGGCTGCATCTTTGTTTGGATGGGCACAATTCATTGAAGATATTACAGTTTTCCAATGTGAGTTTCTGCCCTTCTTATAGAAAATCAGGTGTTCATAGATGTGCACATTGTATCTACATTTTCCCTTTGATTCTATTGATCAACATATCTGCTTTTCCCCATACTTTACATTTTATTGCTATAGATTTTAAATATTAATTGGGATCTAGACTAGTGATACCCTCAGATTTTCTTTTAATTTTTGGAATTGTTTCATCTATTCTGGATTTTTGTGTTTCCAGATTAAGCTGAGAATTGTCCTTTCATGACCTGTGCAAAAATTGTTTTGGAATATTGAAAATTGCATTGAATCCAGTTTGCCCATGTTAGGGTAACCACTTTTACTCTATTAATTCTACCAGTACATGAACAACAGAGATCTTTCCTTGTTCTTCTGTCTTCTTCAATATCTTTTTCCAATGACTGAAGCTTTTATCTTACAAGTATTTCACTTGCTTTTTTAGAAGTTTTCCCAATATATTTTATATCATTTGAGACTACTGTAAAAGAGATTGGTTCCTTAATTATTTGTTCATTCAATTTTTCATTTGTATTTAGGAGGTTTGAGATTTTGAGTGAGTTAATTTTGTATTCAGCTAATTTGAAAAACACTTTGGTGAAAGTATTTATCAGTTGTAGAAGTTTCTCAGAGGAATTTTGGAGTCACTTGTGTATACAATAATATATCATCTGTTAATAAAAATACTTTTACTTCTTCCTTACCATTAGTAATTCTTCCTTACCATCTCATTAGTCTCCCATTGTCCTATTGCTTCAGTTAAGACTTCAAGTACTATATCAAATAGGAATAGAGAATATGAACAACCTTTCCTCATTTTTAATTGTAGTGGAATTTCATTGAGCATTTGAGTTTCTCTCCATTTAATCTGATGTTGTCTATTGGTTTCTTGTGAACTGCCTTTATTATGTGGAGCTATGTGCCTTTTATCCCTAATATCTCCAAGACCTTTTATCATGAATTGATGATTAATTTTGTCAAAGGCATTTTCTTTATCTAATGAAATTAATTTTCTCAAATGCATTTTCTACATCTAATGAAATGATGTTGTTTTGTTTGTTTTTCAGCCTTTTTATACAGTGGATTACATTTACTGATTTATTTATCTTGAACCATCCCTGCTTTCTGGGCTGTAGTCTATTTGATCATGGTGGATAATCTGTCTGATGTTTTCTTGGAGTCAGTTTGCAATATTTTATTGAAAATTTTGCATCTGTTTTCATAAGAAAAGTTGGTCAGTAATTTTATTTCTTTGCTGGGCCTTCATGTAGTTAGGAAATCAGGGTTACTTGACCTGGTAAACAAAATTAGACAATGTTCCTTGTATTTCTATTTTGTGAATAACTTAAAGAACATTAGTATTAACTCTTCTTTGAAAGTCTTATAGAATTCTGCACTAAATCCATATAGCCCTTATTTTGTTTTGTTTTTGAGGTTTTATTTTGCTTTGTTTTGTTTGTTGATTCAAAGATTTACTTGACTACATCTATTTCAGTAGAGGGTATAGGTCTGTTTAGATTTCTTGTTTCATATTTTGAGCAGGTATCATGCTGTTTGTGTTGCTGTACTTCTAAAATATGACTTGAAATTGCTTAAGGAAATCTCTCCTGCATTGTTCTTTTTGCTGAGGATTATTTTAGATGCCCGACTTCTTTTATACTTCCATATGGATGTTTTGTGCTATTAATTTGAATAATATCATGGTGTTATTTAATGACATTTAATTGAATCTGTAAAATGATTTTGATAGTGTTGTTATATTTATGGTAATTATGTCACTCCATGACCATGGGGTTATTTCCATTTTCTAGTGTCTTCCTCAATTTGTATCTTTAGATATTTAAGTTTACTTTTTAATTTTTGTTTAATATTTTCACACAATATATTTTGATCATGTTCTTCTCACTTTCTAACTACACCCAAGTCCTTCCATCTACCTATCCAGCAAACTTCCGGTTCTTTCTCTCTATTGATCACAAAATTCCAAAATATAATAAAACTAAGAAATAAGAATCCAAACAAACCAGTGAAACCAATAATAGGCAAAAAAAAAGTTCAAACAAGATAAAACACCAACACAAGAAAGAAGTCATAAATATGAATTCCCACCCCTAAGGCAGAAACTATTTGCGATTCAAAGATGTTAGACAAAGGAAAATCAGTTGTTTTCCAATGGAATGTCACTTGGTTTTTCACAAATACTCCAGGATATCAGACTCTATATTTCATGGGGCAGAGGGGAGTAATGTTTTTTATTTCATCATGTTTTTGTTGGGTTTAGAATATGTTTCTTTTATTTAACTTTCTGACACAGCATTTTCCATTGGGAGTTCTTTCACTTACATTTTTGTTTAAAAAGACATATTGAGTGAGCACTTTTTGTGAGAAATATTTTAGTTGTTACTTAAAAATGTTTAAATATTTAGGAAAAGAGAGAACAAAAACAATGCTAATTTTCATTCAGTTTGGGTAAACTCAATCAGTACGCGTCTTTTTTTCCCCCTCTGGGAAGGTGGCAGGTTTTTATAATTTTATTTACTGATTTTTTTTCTAACACTCAAAGGGCACAGATTTATTTGTTCAAACTAGAAAATAAAAGTGCCTAGTGATGGTTTGACTCTTAGATGAATTAAATATTAACAGATGACAAGCACTAGATGAATAAGTGGTAAGATGCAGAAAAGAAAAATGACTTCGAAGGACCTATCAGTAGCAGCCAGCATGCTGAGCAACTAAACCAAGAAGAGCAACAACAATTTATTATTAAATGTGATTAAGGAGCAGGCGTAAATAATTTTACAATGAGAATCTAAGTATAATATTAAAGCTGAAATTGAGTAATCATGAATAAAATAAAATGTTTTCAATGAATATTTTATTGAATTAATGCATTGACAACCTGTGGGAAATAGACAAAAATAATCATGTAGAATTGAGTAGGATTCCTGAGTTTGCTATTAAAGAAGTAAATGAATTTGTAGTCATTTTTTAATCAACCCATGAACCTTCTTAACATATCAAAATGTGTAAATAAAAATTAAAAAGCTTATTGTGGGGGATATAGTAATAACTTTAAAGGACATATTTTAAAATCTCTAAAGGACAAGGAAATTAGACCTTAGAAAATATCCTCTTCCAGTATTGTTCTTAACAATCTTGTTTGTATTTTAGATTATTGTTTATTTAATCTTTTATAGTTTATATAATATATACAATGTATCTGGACCATAACTACTCCCAACTCCACAATCTTTTTCCTCTCAGAACTTCCCAGCATATCTCCCTCTTACCTTCAAAGACATCATTTGTTATTTCTCTCTTTGTTTAGTATCACATTGACTTAAATTAGTGCTGTCTTTTGCAATGATGAGTGATATTATTGCCTTGATCTTGTACAGATAACTATAACCTCAGTGAGTTCTCAAGTGTGATGGTCAAATCATGTCCAATTTCAAAGCATTCCTCTCCATCCCCTGGCATTAACACTATCTCCAGTCCCTCTTCTAGCTTTTCTCTGAGCTTTGGGATAGGGTCAGAGTGGAGGGCTTATACAGATACCTACTTGTGGCTGAGCAGTGCACAATAAAGTTTTTCTCTGTTGTCTGATAAGCTATGAGATTTTACAATGCTGCACACAGCAGAAAGGGGCATTTCTGTTAAAGGTTGAAAGCAACACTGATGTATGTTTTGACAATAATCACATTTAACAAAACAACCAGACTAATACCTCATTTGGGCTACAATTTCCCGAGCTTGGGGCCATTGACTAGGTTTATTGCACAAAAAATTCTTTTCTTCTTGTGGTGCAAGCCTCAGATCTAATTATAAAGCAGTGGCTTACCTGCCTGACCTTCCTGAAATTACTGTGCAAGTGGTCACATCCTGCCTTTTTTGATCTATATTGTTACATTCATAGAGCAGCCCCCTTTAAAGCCATTGAATTTTTTCTCGCCTAGTGGCTTATGTAGCAACTTCAGGAACTGTGAAAGCTGCCCAACAAGGAAGTTTTCAGGTCAGTTGCATTTTGATTTTGATTTTAATATGTCCTGCAACCAAAGTGAGCTGTGCTATCAGCAACAGGAGCTTTAAAACTGTTTCTTCTAGTTTTTGAGACTAAAACATAATTACATAATTGCCCCATTTCATTTGCCCTCTGAATTTCCCCAAATAATGCTCCTTGGTCTCTCTGATGGCCTTCATTCATTAATTGTTGTCAATTAAATATATGCATATTTATTTTATTCATAAATATATGAATACAACCTTCTCAGTCTACATATAATGATGCATCTGTGTATACAATTTCAGGACTGACAATTTGGTATTAAAGAACCAATTGGTGATCTCTTCCCTGGGTAAAATTTCTTCCTGTGTCAGAATTTGTTAGTTAACTTTAATTTTTTTGTGTATGGTTGAGGCAGCACAGACTTTCCCTTCACCAATTTAACATATCTGTTGTTGTTGCCCTTGTTCAGCTAATGTTTAGGTAGTAATATTGGTTAGAATTTACAGTTGTATCTTTTGTTAATTCTAGGAAACAATCTACTGTCGTACATCAAATTCCTGTTCCTCTGACTCTTACATTCCTTCTGTCCAACCCTTCTGTAATTACCCATGCTCAAAGTTTAGGTGCTGGTGTCATATTATAAAATTATCCATTGAGACTGAATTGCACAACTTTGCATTTTGATTGGCGATAGTTTTCTGTAATGTCCATTTGTTTTGAAGAATATCTCCCTGATGAAGGGTGAGGACTACACTTATGTGTAGATACAAGAACAAATATTTAGAATGTATTTAAGAATTGTGTGGTTTAGCAAATGAGTGCTGGAGGTTCTCCTCCAAGATCTATGACTTCATTAGCTCTGAATAATTAGGCTAGATCTCCAAAATTATACACAATTTCCCCTAGTCAAACAGTACTTAAGTTCAGCTGAGTAGTTTTGGTTACATCCAAGATATGTATGGCATGACTATATCTTTAGTGTTATCATGTCAT